CTTTTAAGCTGAGGGTCATACCTACAAAGGACAACATATACAGTACATAGGTGAGGTGGAATTGGTATGTAGCACCTTACTGTATGCTAGACACTGTGTAACCCTGTCTACAAGCTATTCCCTCTTGAGTTTGTTAGATCCAAGTCCTGATTTTTTTTTTTTTTTTGAAAACCTTAGTCCTAAATATTTAGAGTTGACTGGGACTTTAGGTCCAACTCCCAATTTCAGAGATCAAATGCCAGGCCAGGCTTAGACAACCAGGTGATATCAGAGCCAGTACTGTTTCTGATTTGTCATAATATTTTGATATAAGGCACATGAAAATATAGCTGATGTTTCTGAAAACACAAAATTTGTGCATATTGGTAAATGTCTAGTCAACTCATTGAATTTTTCTCTTTTCACACACTGTTGGGTACCAATCTGTCAACTTCATGAGGACTTCAGACACTTCAAAGAGATGTTTCTAGTGCTAAGATGCTAAAATCTTCCAAACCATCCAAATCATCCCTTCATTTTGATTCTCCAAATGTTTTTATTTTCATGACATTCATGCTATGAAGCAGTTTGAATGTACAGGCACATTTCAAAGCTCAGCTATAGGCCAATGTAGGTGTTCTGAGCATATTTAAGGTAGGCTAAGCTGTGATGTTTGGTATGTTAGATGTATTAAAGGCATTATGATATTTTCAACTTATGATGGCTTTATTGGATGTAACCCCATCACAAGTCGAGCATCTGTATGTGTTCATGTTTCTCTTCCTTTTCTGGGGAAAATGGTCTTGCCAACCAGGATCTCTCACAGAGAACTCTTGTTTCAGTCACAAGTGGCTGTTTGATAGCATTTCCCCTCCTCATGAGCTTATGAGGCCTTTTTCTTCCTTCCCACTGAACCTCAGGAATGGTGTCTAGGTAAGCGCCAAGCCAAAGAAGCAAGAAATATTTGAATTCTGCTCTCCAGGCAGTTTTTATAAGTGTTGAGAACAAATTCTTGTTGAAGAATGTGGTTTGATTTGTTAAGGTTGCCTTTTTCTCTTGAAGTCCACCACATTTTGGTTATTTATACATTTTTAAAGCATGTAAACACCTTATGCAAATGTGACATTTTGCAATTATCCTTCATTTATTCAGAGAGCGTTTTGAAGCAAATTCAGCTCTACAGCAGAGCTTCCCTGTAGCCAGGATAGAGGCTGAAAATCCTGTGCTTTACCCATGAGAGCCCCTCAGATTTCCATAAACTGCCTATTTCATCTTTGAGGCTAGTTTGCTATGGGTTTGCAAGCTTACAAACATGTTTTAACTTTGAAACTGTTATGAATTCTTTCAACCATACACAAAATAGTAAACAGAACACTATGTGCTCACCACCCAAACTGAACAAATGTAAAGATTTTTGCCAACATAAAAATTTGTAAGCAAAAAGTGTGAAGATTTTGGCCAACATAAAAATTTGTAAGGATAAAAATGTGTAAGCTGGTAGGAATAAAAGATAAGGCAGGATGGAGGGAAGAGGTTGGAGGCGTGTACCCTGACCTAAGAAACTAAAAGAGGAGGTAGGAAAACTCTAAAGGAGACCCAGGGACTAAAAATCCCTAACTCTCTGGGCCCATTTGGATCAGAGGCAAGCATCTCTCCTCCTGCAGAAGCCCTTAAGAGCTGACTGACTCTCATAGTCATAAGACAGTATGATTTATTGATTACCCCAGATCATAAATAAAAGATTAAATTATGCTCCGTTCATGCTACTGCTGGAGAAGGAAAGCTAGTGTGCAACTAATTTGAAAACATTTGAGTAAACAAAAGGTTTAAAAATCAAGTTTTGATACCCAATAGGGGTAGATTTCAGTTTTATGGAGTATTTGACTCATTTCTCTCTGATACCCGTAGGGCTGAAAAGAGTTAAAAAGTCTTCACTGGGGACATAATTGTCTTTGAATTTTTGATAACTATTTTTTTAGGTAAACTTTTTTGTGAAGAACCACGTACCTGCAGAAAAGTACTTATATCACAAGCGATGTCTGTCCATAAGACACACACACTCGTGTACTCAGACAATGAAACGATATTCCAGGCGCACCAGGAGCTCCCCAGCAACCCCTGTCACTCCTCCCAGTCATGATCATGACTCCTGACTTCTAACATCAGAGATTAGTTTTGATTTGGGAAATTTTTGATGTAATATGATTCTGACTGGGGAGAAAAAGCTATTGTGACTTACTATTCATAATTTGCTTTTCAAACAAACACACCCTGAGTATTATCTTTTTCAAGTTCCTCCATCTGAGATTCCTTCCACAGGAGGTGGAACGTGGACGATATGATGATGATGATGATGACGACAATAATATTAATTTTAAAACACTAATTGAGACAGAGCAAGCTTCCTGAACTTTCTGTACCTCAGCTTCCTCCTCTGTGCAGTTATAATCATCATCATACCTTCCTCACAGAGTTGAGGTGAGAATTAAAGTATAAACATGTAAAGCACTTAGCAAGGGCTCAGTTATGTGTGTGCATGCACACTGTGCATACGTGTATAAAGTAAAAGAGGTCAAACCAGGCCACGGGGAGACGTGTTTACTAGGTCTTCATGTATCACACATTTTTTATTTTACTGCTGCCTGGTCACACAGATTGCAAAAGTCTCTACTGTGTGGATGAAAGTTCAGTATGTCGTTGGGTAAAGAGGCATTTATTTTCCCTGAAAATGAGACCATCGTACAGGGTTAGCCGCTGACTCAGCGGGGGAGAAGAAGCGTAAGGAAGGGCAGCCACGGTGTGTGAGTACACATACTTTGATTTCTAACTTTGATCAGTCTGCAGAAACTGCTTTACATTTGTTTATTTAGAAGTACTCATGGGTCACACACACACAAATAAATAAAACTAGTGAAATTGAATAAACTCAAGTGGATTGTATTGATATCAATTTCCTGGTGGTGATACTGGTATCGTTATGTAATATGTTACCACTGGGAGAAACTGGGTGAAGAGTATATCGGATTTCTCTGTATTATTTCTTACTACCTCATTTGAATCTAAAATTATCTCGAAGTAAGAGTAAAAAAATTACTTACAGAAGTACATATTTTGAGCCCTGGGCTGTCCTAGGCTCTGAAGTTACAAGGAGAACAGCAAGACTTAGTGCCCTGCCCTCAGAGGATGAAATAAAGGTGAGAAAGAGCCTTGAGCTGCTTTTAAAAGTATACTCTTTTAGCTGTTTCATTAAATGGTTGGAAAGGGTTCATTGAATATAGAAATGCTTATCCAAAAGTCCCGACGTCATCACAGAAATATTATCAGTCAACATTCATAAGATACCCTTATATGCACTAAAATTAGGAAGTAACAACCCTTCAGAGTGCAGATGAGATCAAAGAGATACTGTCCTACACGTGAGGGCTGTCAAGTGTCCGAATGGAACCAAAGAATAGGAAAATTGCCACCCTGTGCTGAAAGATTTAAAGAGGCTGACTTCACATCTGTCTTTGTAAGTTTAGGGGTGTTTCTGTCTGAAAAGGAACTGAATCATCCCTTACAGTTTTATGATCTTATGAAGTTTCATATATTTAAATTTATAAATGTCTTTGGTGGGAAAAGGCTTTTACTTATTTTTTTTTTGCTGGAATTAAGAAATATAAATGATACACTGCTGATAGAGTGGAATCCATCTTCCAAGGAAGGCTTCTTTAAACTTTTTCAGTCTGCCAGCTTCCCAGATGCCTACATTTTTTTCTGACAGGGACTGGAGGGGTGAGGTGAGGGTGGGTAGAGACAAGATATTGTCTTCAGAAAAAAAGTATTTAGTTGCAAGCTGGTTCAGGTGGCCATGTAATCCATTGTTTAAACCAGAACACTTTTAAAAAAACTATTAAAATTTTTTTGTTGAAGTTTAATCTACATGCAGAACCTTACCTGTTTGCTTCATGTAAATTGAATCATACAGTATATACTTGTTTATATCTTGTTTCTTGGGATTGACATTATAAATTGAGCCATATTGTTAGGTGAAGTTCTAGCTATAAGTCATTTATTCTCTTTGCTGCTTTATATTATTCCATGGTGTGAATGAATATATCACAATTTATTTATGCATTCTATTGAGCACGGGCATTTGGGGAGTTTCAGGTTAGGGCCATCACAAATAGTGCTACTGATAATATTCTAGCATGTGTCTTTTGGTGAACGTGATTCTTTGGGTTAAATACCCAGGAATGGAATTGCTGGATCATAAGGTATGCATAAGTTTAGCTGAAGCAAATACTGCTAACTATCCAAAGTGTTTATTCTCATTTAAACTCCCATCAGCATAACATGAGAGTTTTGATTGCTTCACATTCTCTTCAATATTCAGTATGTTTCGTGTTCAGCCATTCAGATATGTGGTAGAGATATTCTCATTTGATTTTAATTTGCATTTCTCTGTTGAATAATGAAGTTTGTATCTTACGGTTATTAGCCACTTGGATATACTCTTTTGTCTATTCAAATCTTTTTGCATATTTTTCTGATCCTTAGTCTGTCTTTTTCTTACCAAACTAAAACGTTTATATAAAGAAACCAGAATTTAGTTTTGGATGTGTGAAGTTTGAGAAATTTGGGAAGCATCTACGTGAAGATTTCCAAAAGCCGTTGGATGATGTGGGTATGGAGTTCAGAAGCAAGTTTTGGGCTGGAGATGAAAATTTGGGAGTCCCTGCCGTGTAGGTAGCATCTCAGTGAAAGGGCAGATGAGATCACCCACAGAGGCGCAGAGGGAGAAAAGTCCAGGACTAAGCCTGATGGGGCACCGAAGTTTGTTCACAAGTTGAGAGTAAAGGAGATGCCAGCAAAAGGGCCTGAGAAGAAACCATCGAGAGGCAGGGAAGCGGGGAGAAGTAGAAGGCAAGAGAAAAGGGTTTCATGGAAGGGAGCGTTCAGTGTGTCACAATGTTTATCTTGTGTTGATATTGAAAAAAACAACAACAAACCACATTCTGTCCCCTCTCTTCTTTCTGCAGCCATCATTGTATACAGACTACCGTGGACCTGGAAATGCAGCAAGCTCCTGATGAAATTAATCCATGCAGGGTTAAACGCCGTTGCAGCCATTCTTGCAATTATTTCTCTGGTGGCTGTTTTTGATTTCCACAATTCCTTCAAAATCCCCAATATGTACAGTCTACATAGCTGGGTTGGATTGACAGTTGTCATATTCTACATCTTACAGGTCAGTGTCTCAGTGTATTTATAAACAAGATGTAAAAAGTAAAACAGTTCAGATACTGTAGATGCTTTCTACAGGTAAATACAAGGGGGGACCCAAAAGAACTGGAATGTATTTATAGAAAATTGTGTATTTATTCTTACATGTTTAAATGTCAGTCACCGTCAAAGCACTCTCCGTTTGATACAGTACAGCTATCAAGACATTTTTTTTCACTGCTCAAAACAGTTTTTGAACTTGTCAATTTTGATGCCTTTTAGTGCTTCTGCCATTTTTTGTTTCACCTCTTCCACATTGGCCAAAATGTTTCCCTTTGAGGACTTTTTTCATTGGTGAAATAAACAAAAAAAATGTTACTCAGGGTGAGATCGGGTGAATAGGGAGGGTGGAGCACGAGGGTCAAGCCGTTTTTTGTTGAAAACTCAGTACAGTGTGGGCAGGTGCGCTCATAAATCCCCTGTCATGAAATAGACAAATGCATTGAAAGAGTCCAGAAAAATTCACTGAAGCCGAATGCAGCCTCTCACAACAACACCAGCTGGTACACAGATACAGATGGATTCCTAGAACACTCATCTAGGGGGCGAAGCCTGTACAAGGGGCCTGCCCTCCAGAATATAATTCCAGTTTTTTTGTGGGGTTCCCCCTCTTAGTTTTTTGGAGATCATCTTCTTATTCCCACTAATCCCTGTTCTACTTGTTTCCATGGTAAGTGTTTTCCCCTGAGCGGGGCTCGGGAACTGCAGAATTCTGTCTATGAGTGTGAATGTGAGATTCTAAATATGGGCGTGTGTATGTAGGGAAATTGCCGTCTGATCGCAGTAGACTGCTGTTGTTGAAACTTCAAGTTTTATGTGCTGAATGAACTAGCATAGACGAGACATATAGATTTCTTTTCTACGTCTGTCTCTTCTATTTCCTAGATTTGACTTTAAAAGTTGAAAAGGTGAATTTATATCTTTTTGTGTCTTTGTTAGATTTTGAAGACTCAATGTCTATCTTATTTTTCCTCTGTCTTCACTTACTAAACACACATACTTTTGATAGCACTGTATTTAAACATAAGTTAATAGAGTGTGGTAGGAATTTGGCTGTTCTGGGTCACTCAAGAAGTAAATTTTAAAAGTCTTCATGGCATTAACCACTTCGTTGAAAAATCTTTGTAAACTATGTTGATTTACTTCCCTTCTTTAGTTAGTACAGTATCTGTTCAACTACCTTATTTGGATCATCATTGTGAACTTTAGTCTCCTATATAGGAGAAGTAAGAAACTGGAGTGAATCCACAAAATCACAATGCATATCTTAAAGTAGGTCTGACCTTTCAAGAGAAGGACCTCTGACCAGACATTTATTTGTCGCTTTTCTGCTTAAGGCTTTTTGAATGTTAATTGAAGTTAGTATTTACACGGTCACTATTAATTATTAAGTTTACATTACCATGCCTGGAAGTAGGAATTGGTGAATGGGAAGGTGTCAGACAGGAGAGAAGCACAGAGAAAACCCTGCATCAAACATGACCTTCCTGATCAAGAAGGAATGAGGAAAATACGATATCTAAAAGTGGGTGGCTGAACCTAGCTCAGATCTCCTGTCCACGAGGGTAATTTTCCTTCAGTTGCTCAGTCACTCCCACACATCTGGGAGATAGCTTCCTCTGCTGACACCAGCTGGTGGACACTGTTTCTTAGAGAGTAGGATGGCAATAGCAGGGAACATTGACATGCTGACAGGTGCTTTAGGGATCCTCTTTTTTTTTAAAAAAAAAGATTTTATTTATTGATTTTTTAGAGAGGGGGAAGAGAGGGAGCAAGAGAGGGAGAGAAACATCAATGTGAGAGAGAAACATCCAAGGGTTACCTCTTGTACACACCCCACCAGGACCAAACCCACAACCCAGACATGGGTCCTGACCAGGAATCGAACCTGCGACCTTTAGCTTCGCAGTACGATACCCTACCCACTGAACCACACCGGTCAGGGTACTTTGGGCAGCCTTTTGACTTACTGGCATCTCTTCAGGGCTTTTCTTAGCTGTCTCTTCTGCTTCCCGTGGTTCATTCTCTGGCATTGCTCCATCTCCTTTGCACTGCCTCAGAATGCAGAATTCTAGAGCCTGAGCACTGTGTGAAATATTCTGCTTCCCTCACATAGTCCTTTAGGTGATGAAGTCTTTGCAGATGCTGAGGATGCACAGGTTACACAGCTAATGGCAGAGCTGGGACTCACCCAGGTCTGTCCAAGTCCTGGGCCCTCCCCACAAGCACTGGTTCCGTCGTTTCTACGATGTCTCTCGGATGACCCAGCTCGTGTCTGAGCGTTCTCAGTGGGGGGCTGAGGAACAGAGTGGGAACCACCCAGGCTCTTGGTAGCTTCCCTATGACAGGGTTCTGTGCTTCTGAGTACAGTAGCTAAAATGGACTAAACAAATGTCTTTACTGAGTAGTATGAAAAGTCATTCTTTGAACATCTGGAAAGATGTGTGCTTGACTTCTAGTCGATTATTTTTCTTCTTACTTTTTTTGAATTTATTAAATCTACCAGCAAAATGTTTTATTTTATTTTTTTATTATTATTCTATTACAGTTGTCCCAATTTTTCCCACTTTGCCCTCCTCCGCTTAGCCCACCCCCAACTCCCACAGTCAATCCCCACCCCGTTGTCCATGTCCGTGGGCCATTTATACATGTTCTTTCACTAGCCCCTTCCCCTTCTTCCCACCTTTAGCCCCCTCCGTCCTCACCTCTGGACACCGTCTGTCTGTTTCCTGTTTCCATGTCTCTGGTTCTATTTTGCTCATTTGTTTGTTTTGTTGATTAGGTTTCTCTTTTAAGTGAGATCACATGGTATTCGTCTTTCACCAAATGGCTTATTCTGCTTAGCATAGCACTCTCCAGTTCCATCCATGCTGTCACAAAAGATAGGAGTTTCTTCTTTCTTTCTGCTGCGCAGTATTCTACTGCATAAATATACCACAGTTTTTTGATCCACTCATCTACTGATGGGCACTCAGGCTGTTTCCAGCACTTGGCTATTATAAATAGTGCTGCTGTGAACATAGGGGTACATAAGTTCTTTTGAATTGGTGTTTTGGGATTCTTAGGTCTTTTTACTTTCTGAATCTTCTAAACACACATCTATTTCTTGTATAGTAATAATACTACTAATAATAAGCTTTTAAAGCTAAAAAAAAGCTTTCTATACCAGATATGCCTTTTTATTATTAAATTTATGCTTTTTAATCTGGATTTCCTAAAATCCAATTTATACTCTGCTCTATATCTTAGTATGTAAAATTAAAAATATCTAGGGATTAGCAGAAACAAGAATACTTATTCTAAAATCTATGGGTCTTAGTGAAAATGGTTCTCAGGAGAATATAGGCTTAAATACTTTCTTTGACAAGAAAACTTGAAAGATATGTACACTAAAGTGTTCACTTAAGAGCCTAAAAGAGAATAGCAAAATAAACAAGGAAAAATAAATAAAGACTCCTCCCTCCCAAAAAAAGCCATCAACAGTTGTGTTAATATTCACCATTGCTGCCAGGACAAATTACCACAAACTTCATGGCTTAAAACAACCCCACTTTATTGCCTCACAGTTTCTGTGTTTCAAAGTCCAGGTTGGCTTGGCTGGTTTCTCTACTCTGGATCTTACAAGGCCAAAATCAAGGTGTTGGCTGGCCTGGGCTATTCCAGCTAGACTTTGGGGTACAATCAGCTTGCATGCTAATTCAGGTTATTGGCAGAATCCAGTTCCTTGTGGTTGTAGGACTGAGGTACTTGGTGCCTTGTTGGCTGTGAGCTGAGGGCTGTCCTCAGCTCGATAGTCCTCTCTGTGTTTCCCTCCATCTCAGAGCTGGCAGCGGTGCCCTGAATCCATTTCACTGGCTGGGAGCCTCTTTGACTTTTTCCTTCTAATCCTTTTTTCCTCCTGCTTTTAAAAAGACTCATGTTATTAGATTGGGCTGCTTAGATAATCCAGGATTATCTCCTAATCATAAAATCCCTAACCTTAATTACCTTTGCAAAGTGTCTTTTGCCAGTAACATAACATGCTCACAGCCTCTAAGGATTATGGCATGGATATTTTTTGGGAAGGGGGTTCTTGATTCAGCCTATTACAACTGTATATAAAAAATAACAGAAATTATAAATAAAATTTAAAGCTGATTCTTTTAAAAACAAAATAAAATACGTAAATCATTGTAAACCTGATTTGAAAAGAATAGCAAGGTATGAAGCATTCAGAATGAGAAAGGAATAGAATCATAGATATAAGTAATACATTAAAATTAGGATAGATGATTAAATTTTAATATATGATTATATACATTAAAATCTTAAGGAAAAGATTACTTTCTTGCCAGATATAAACTATCAAGTTTGAACCAAGAAGAATTAGAAACCTAAACAGACCAATAACATTAGAAGAATTTGGTAAGGTCATTTGAAATATGTCTAAAAAAAAGACATCAGGTCCAGGTCATTGTATACCTTTGATCTTCAAGGAGCAATACTTTAAACTATTCCAGTACACTGGAAGAAAACAAGCTCCTCTTAGATGTGGCCCCACTGTGCACGGCATACTTTCACATCTCAGGTGGCAGCCCTGAGGATGGACACCTTTACTAACATCCAACAGCAGCCATCAGCATAAGCTATGAAATACTGAAGATATTTCCATTAAAAAAACAAATGAGATGTAGATGTTTGTTACCATTGTTCAATTTTGTTTTAAAGGTTTTAACTAATGTATAGGATCATGAAAGAAATCTATATAAGTAATAGCAAATGTGTTGAAGTAGTACAACAAAGTTGGAGGACTTAAACTCTCATATATCAAGATTTATTAAAAAGCTACTATAATTAAGACAGTGTGGTGTCGATGCTAAGATAAATAGCCCAATGAAATGGATTACAGAGGCCAAACCAAACCTACACGTAAATATGGTGACTTAATTTATGATGTTAAGTGACAGTGCAAAGGATGAAGGATGT